ATTGCTCTAGTTATGAATGACCTCATTTGAATAAAAGTATATAAAAGATGTGTGCTAGTTTCATGAAACTGGAACTCGGAGTCGCTTCTCGAATAGGGCACTGCTAAGTGTAGGCTTTGAAAAAGGACCCTATTTTGGAGAGTTACGTCTTCTTTCTCAGTCATATAATGCAACATGTATTTCATAAAAATGGCCGAAATAGAGTATGACAGGGTACCCAAATTTAAGAAAAAATCGAAAGTGGTGTTTTTTTTTATTTGCTTCGGATTTTTTCGTTGTTTGATTTTTTCCCCATGTTTGGCTAAATATATCACGACCAGGGGCGGATTTAGAGGGGGGGTCCGGATGTCCTGACCCCCCTCTTGATTTCTGCTTGTGTAAATTTTAGGGCGTAAAACAAAGGAGAGGGGGAGGGGGTTTCTAGACATATGGTACGCTGACCAACACCTGACCCCCCCCTCAGGAAATTCCTGCATCTGCCCCTGATCACGACTACCGTATCACTAAGATATCTAATATACAGTCATGGGTAAGTTACTTTTAAAAAGTAATTCGTTACAGTTACAGTTACTTTCACAAAAAAGTAACGAAGTTACCGTTACTGTTACCGCAACAAAAAAGTAACTCGTTACAGTTACAGTTACTTTCAAAAAGTAACGACGTTACTTTTCAGTTACATTTCTATAACACAAAAATTAAGGAAAAACTAATGTTTGAAAGAAAAAAAATATAGACACGAATCAATCGGGCTTTCACCATAGCAGTAAATTCAAACTTAATAATTTAGCTGGAAAATTAGTCAATATTATGAAAAGAATAAAGACAAAAAAGTGAAAGCCGTTTACAAATCCCTGTAACGCCGAATTGGAGCGCAGCTCTTGAGGAGGAGGAGTGAAGGGTACTGAGGGGAGGGTAGACCCCTCCTCCTCCCCTCATTCTTTAATATGCTCCGGGGGGGGGGGCGGTCACGTGACCTCGGGGGGGGGGGGGGGGGGTGTCACGTGACTTCGGGGAGGGGGGTCACGTGACCTCGGGGGGTCACGTGACCTCAGAGGGGTCACGTGACCTCAGAGGGGTCACGTGACGTGGGGGTCACCTTGGGGTCACGTGACCTTGAGATGACCTTGGGAGGGGTCACGTGACCTCAGGGGTCACGTGACTTGGGGGTCACGTGACCTTCAAAGGGTCACGTGGGGTCTTGGGGTCACGTGACCTTGAGATGACCTTGGGAGGGGTCACGTGACCTCGAGGGGCCACGTGACCTTGGAAGTCACGTGGGGTCACGTGACCTTGAGATGACCTTGGGAGGGGTCACGTGACCTGGAGGGGTCACGTGACCTTGGGATGACCTTGGTTACGCCGACGGCGACGGCGACGCCGCTCAAGCCGGGAACGGGCCCCTAAGAGCTGCGCTCTAAAATTGAACTGGATGTGTTTTCTCAGATTTGAACGCGAAGACTTGTTGTCGGAGTACTCCTTGTTGCAAAGTTTGCATACTGCGGTCAAATAGTTAGCAACCAACTTCACCACAGAAAAATACTCTGTACGCCGGCCATGTTCTTCGTTCTGTTCTCTTCAACATCCCTATCCTTGTAGCACTAGCACATTGCTCGCTCGTTGACGGTTGCGCTGTGTTCGTGGACTCCTTTGATATATTTCAGTTCGTACCCGGCAAACCAGAAACAAGCCCTGCGCAAACAACAGTAAATTTTGCCTCCACCGTTGAAACCACGCCGGAGTAGTGGCGCAAATCAAAATACGAAACATGCACAGTGCGGAGTAGTGGCGCTAATCAAAATACGAAACATACGAAGTTCCCTCCGCGTGTATTGTTGTTTCACGGTTGATTCACCCGATTAAAATGCGTGCGCAGAAAAGAGAAAACCGCAACAGAGGTAGTGCTTCAATATACTAAGATGTAAGTGTTCAGTCACAAAGTACAAGCAAGTGCGTAAAGATAACTACATTCTTCTTTTTTTTCTTCATAAAATCTACACGTGGCTATATTCGGATAGTGACCTGCGAGAAAGAACGTATTCTCAAGTTTGTGCAAGGCCAACTGACACTCAAAATGACGAAACAGACACTTTGGAAAGTGCAAGGAATAGCTAGATTATACTCGTTTAATGATATATTATTCACAAAGAACTGAAAAGTAACGACAAAAGTAACTTCGTTACTTTCATCGTTACCTTAGAAAAAAGTAATAGAACTACAGTTACAAGTTACATTCTTAAAAATGTAACTCGTTACAGTTACAAGTTACCGAAAAAGTAACAAAGTTACAGTAATGCGTTACTAGTAACGCGTTACTACTCAAGACTGCTAATATATATATATATATATATATATTAAATAATAGCCATATATAAGAAGAATACTGTCTAAAAAGTATATTATGGGGATTAAATTATTTCATGAGATACAGGCCTCCAAATTTTGCCATTTGTCGTTCGAGCAGGCATGTTTGGCTATTTTTAGAAAAAGAAATGTAATGTGAATAAATATTATTACTATATATTACAAGGAAGCTGTACCCATAGTTTGTTTTAAAAAGTATGAGAATTATCTAATTTTATTGTTTTAGTTATTCACTTTCAAACATGCCCCCTCCATGCAACAGTCCACCTCTTCATGCCTTACAACCTTTCCTGACCCCCAGTTTCTTTTTCTGGTCAGAACTAAGTGTGAATTTGTTTATACCGGACATTAGACAATGGCATATAAAAACATCAGTTGATTTAAAAATGTCGACTGCCAACCTTTGGTCAATCTTATCTGAAATCACCCAATAATTTCAACACAGGAAAAAATAAAATGGGCACCATTAGTTGAACGAGGAAATAATTCTTATGTTACGGTTGATGAAGGCTTGGAATTTTAGTACAATAGTATGCCTTGCAAGCAGTGTTGGGAAGTAGGGGGGTTGTACTTAAAGTACATGGTGTCACAAAAGAAAATTTACACGGTCTTTTTTACCGCAAAAATAAACTAGGCATTGCCGAACGCTCATTCTCCGCCCAAAGGTAGCGCCTTCTGAGGAAAGTACAACTCCCGACTGCAAAGCACGTTCCCCAAATTAGGTGTCGTTAAATTTGCGTCACAAAATGATGCTTTGTCAACTCTGAAGAAATACTGGGAGAGATATTCAACTCTCACCAGAAACACGAGCAGACGACGCATCACTCCGTTTGTTCTGGGGGCGGCTTTCCCGTAGCTTGGCAGACCCGCTACTTCTCGCTTGGTCAGCACAAGCGAGAATATCAGGAGAAAACAAATAATCATGATGTAAGACCTGAGACTGTGGTGCAGAAAACAAAGAAAATTTTAAGTCGAAGAAAGGGACAACAGAGGAGAGCGTCTCAATGTTTTGAGTCATTCTCCTACGTTTTCTTTTCCTTCGACTTGAAAGTTTCTTAATTTTTCCGCAACAGTCCCTGGTGTCAAATTATGACTAATTACCACCAGCTTGCCTACACACTCATTGTTCTTTCGTTAACTCTTTCCTGACCGCGCCCATAGGCTATCGATCACCGGTGATTGATGGTTTCCAAGCGCCGTCAAAAAATTTAATTTACTGCAGAGAATTATGTTACAATTTCTCGTGGATAGCAGAAGACCTGTAATTTCGGTTTCAAGGTAGGTTTCAGCGTGATGACAAGCTGGTGAGCTGTCAAAAAGTCCTGGGAATGGTAGTTGCACCTCCCTAACATGGCTAACTGCTTGCATCAGTCTTCATAACAAAGATGGCAATATTTACATAATTTAACTGTATTGTGACATATTCTTTAGACCTTAAGAGCCCTAGGGGCACTTTAAATGATGTTATATGCTTCGCATAACGGATGACTGTTGGTAAGCATCACTTCAATTTTCAATGGTGTCCTGAGCCGGCGTGCTCTTTTTTTTTGTTCCCGACAAGGCGAACAAAAATGCTAAATACAAAGGAACTGTAATCAAGGCTATGACAAAAGGAAGGTAAAACACAAAGAAAGCATTCTGCTGGGGTTGCAAGGTGTACTATCTGTGTTTCACCAATGTGGCCATTCCTTCATTGAAATGCATGCGTGTTACAGAGTCTAACTCTCCGACGAATCAGAAATAGACAACGTCAGTTAGAGTACACTAACTTTGAGAGGTATTAGCCGTAGGTGTGGGGCATGTTTTGTATGTTCTGAATTTTTTTTATTTTTTGATTTAACATAGCTGTAGAAGTTTTAAGGTTTTTACGCCTGTGGCATACACATTGTATTTTTAAGAAGTTATGTTTTAAGATCTCTGTTCCACATTATACCAACCTTTGCTTCTTTCAAAAGAACAACTAATTGGCCACATTTTGATGTGTCATATTTATGCACTCGCAAATTAGGAAAATAAGAGCAGTTCTACAGATCCTTTGAAAATTGCCGATTTTGCCGTGGCCAGGAAAAAGGTAAGGAGCGTACACTTTTCTACGAGAGGATTGCTTGCGGAAGCTACAGGGCCTACGTCGCACTCTCTCCTAGAACGTTTAACCCCTTTCGGTGCAACAAGCCAGTACATGTGGTGCCAAATTCAGAAGTCGGACTTCTGAATTTACCACCATTTGGGAAAACACGCGACGCACCCCCGATTACTGCTGGGGCAATGCATATACCAGTTAAAATATCACTGTACAGGAGAAAGAAAGGGCATCGTGAAAGTTTTTTTTTTAAGTGTATACTTCGAAATTACATTCTATTCATAGTACTTTGCTTCACATTCATTGCACCCAGTGTACTTACTACTTTACTTCAAGTCCATCACTTCTCATTTGCTTTGTACTTCGAGTACTTTTTGGATGTACTTTACCCAACACTGCTTGCAAGAAGGAGAGTGATTAGAATGGGCTATATCTTGCCATTGATTTTTGCAGACACCTTTAGAGTACATACTTCCGGTTACACTTTCGGATGGCTGAATTATTTGCGCTAGCTGGTTCCTTTAAGGACAGTTTGTGGTGACACCCGCATGTTTTTCAGGCCCCAGTTTTCATCAGCTTTTTCTTTGCTCTGCGTGGCATGGCCAACCTTCCAATGGAGAGCTTCAAGACTGGCGGCATGCTGTGGTTCACAGACCTGACCATCCCAGACCCCTACTGTCTGCTGCCGCTCATAACAAGTGCCACACTCTTCTTCACAATAGAAGTGTGTGACCCTTTTTTATTCTCGTTTTGTAGCGACGAGAAGGTCGTGTCTGATAACCTTTAATCAACTGTACGATGAGACTGAGGAGCAAAGTTTCTGCTCTTGACTGGTTTAATTTTGTGCTTCTAGGGCCCAGCGACAGGGTTTGAGACATTATGAACGGGTTTTTTCTTTATCTTGTTTTTACTGGGTGAAAAAAAAAAGTCATGATTTTCTTTGTTTTTAAATCAATCGTTTTTTTTTATTTAAATACAATTTGTTCATTTTAATCTCAATTATTTGGTTTAAATCACTGTAGCTAGAAAATAGTGACCCTTTATTACTACATGTATTTTTAAACTTGGCACATTTACCGATCCATCCATTTGATGACTGATAACAATGCAGAAGAAAGAATTGTTGTAAATTTAAAGTGCAGTTTAATGAACTACTTTTTATTGATGTAACCCCAGCCATACTACAGAGTGCGAGTCAAAGGGATCGATGGCTTTTTGAAGGGACTGCATAAATCGATTTGTGAATGTTTCGAGCTAAAATATTTGAGAGAGGTGGCCAAAGAATATGCATTTAAAAGGGTACTCCGGCGTTTTCTTGAAGTCTCCAAATTTTCTAAAAATTTGCTAAACATACCAACAAGCATCGCTGGAATATTAACGTAAATATTGGGCCCAAATAAATTTTATTCGCAAAGTTATTGAATTTACAATTTTGGTCTTCGCCATGTTTTTCAAGGTGAAAGTCTCTACTGGCAACAATAAAAGTGAAGTCAGCCGAAGGCAGGGGTTTGCTTTTTGCACTGTAGACTTTGTTCCCAACTGTTTACAAGCAGTTTCATGGTGTCATATGAATGCTTTGGAAGCTAATGCTCCCCATAATCCATTTCGGACTGCCAGCTTGACGTGCAAGCTGGCAGTCCGAAATGGATTATGGGGAGCATTAGCTTCCAAAGCATTCATATGACACCATGAAACTGCTTGTAAACAGTTGGGAACAAAGTCTACAGTTGGGAACAAAGTCTGACGTGCAAGCCTGCCTTGCCCTGACCACTGCACTGAAAAGTGTGGGTATATTTGAATGTTGATTTTGGCATCATTTTCACTTGCCAATTTAACAATAACTATTCTTAGGTAATTTTGTGACACTAAATAGCATACCGGAAAAGGTAAAGGCCGACGATTCTGAAATATATAGTTGGTTGGGGTAGCTTAAAAAATCGCCGGAGTACCCCTTTAAGGGTATAAAATCTAAAATAAACAAACTTAAAACCGATGGAAAAGTTAGAAACAAGAAAATGAGAAATCCCTACCTTTGGCGCCCATCCGCTAAAGAAGGGCAAGTGATTGGCACAACAGCTGAGAGATGGCAGTACGCTTGAGCCGTGTAGTAGCGGTGTCAGGGGCCACCTGCCTCCCCTTGGGATTCCGGGGATATTGACAACGAGATGTTTCGGTGGCGTGCTCTTGGGCCGTGGTCGCATTCCTGATGCATCATTCGAAAGACGGCCTTCAGACTGTCCGAGAGGTGTTTCTTCCTTGTGTCCTCGACCTCGGCAATAGCAGACGACGACTCTGAGCCAGAAACGACACATTCTTCTTCTGCACGAATTGTTGGTGCACAATTATTTTATTTTACGAATAAAACATTAAAAAAACTTAAGATAAAAAAAATGAGAGCAAAAAAAAAGATTTGTTGTCTCATATTTTTTTTTTTTTCGGCAATTATTTTTTGGCTACATGTCGCCGTCTGCTTTGCACTCTCTGGTTATTACCTCGTCATTTTTCTTGTCTGCAACTTTCATCCCTGCTGTTTTGGGGTGTAAGTCATGTTCATGGTGTGCTGAGCTCCCAACGAGCGAGCGAAGGTTTTTGTGCGGAGTTTCAGCTGCGACCTCTAAGCTCCCTTACAATTGTACGCTGGGTGAGGTGTGCCTCAATGAGGAGGGAAACCTCCAAAACAAGCCACTAACAGCAGCGGTGTCATCACCGAAGTTGACGCTGAAAAATGCGGGATCCGCGATGCCTTCACTGCCGACCCCCCACTTGTTGACACGGAGAGCACTGCCGACATCTGTCGGCTGTTGTGTAAATCGGACGCCTTTGGTTAGCACATGGCCACCGTAGGTGGAGATTTATTTTTCGTTTCTAACTTTATATATTCGGATAAGTTTGTTCAGTGACATTTTTACACCCTTAATGCGCGTTCTTCAGCCACCTCTGTGAAAAATCTTAGTGCGACACATTCAGTAACCGATTTATGCCATCCCTTAAAGCAGCCGTCGATCCCTTCTACTCACCCTGTGGAACAGAAACAGCTTGATTATTTTTTTTAGCTTTTCTTGCACTCTGATTTGCTCGCAATAAGATATTACTTTTTCTAGTTTTTGTTCCTTTCTTTTATGTTCAGATTTGCTTGCAATAGGACGTTACGTAACTGACAAATGAAGTGGAGGGTAGAAAGAAAGCTCAATGATCCGGTTTGCTTGTGCTTATTTTTATTTATTTTGTTTTTATTTTGAGCAGCAGCTTAATGCCTCCTTTGTGGTGCACTTATCAATGAATCAATTAGTAGTAAAATTTTAAACGGGATAAAAACGAAACGTTAGGGCAAAACAATAGTCTCAACACACTTTCGAAATTTACGCTCTTCATCAAAAATATCAAGACTAACTTTCCCACAAATCTGTTCTAAATCGTCAGTTGTAGGTGTGTCATGGGTGCAGCATGTTGTTGAGCCTAATACAAGTCTTGTTTGTTGAATGTTTGATATAAATACAGAATAAATGCACATAGAAGGCATCAAATGACAGACCAGTGGAATGATAAACCAATGGTAAAGAAAAACTTTTTTCGCAATTATTTTTGCAAGAAAGGTTTGACATAGATTGTCATAGTACAACTGGCTATATTTAATTAAAATCGTGATTTAAATCATCTTGAATTTTATCTCCATCTTGTGTCTTTGTTTCAATTCAATTCGGGAGTTCCCTAAAGATTTCTTAAAAGACACATGCAAAGGAAAAAAACATTTTTTTTAGACAGCTTAGATGGAAAAAGGATGTCATAAAACTATTTTACAACGAAGAAAAAAAATTTTAGAGCTATATTTACGGTGCTATATGAATTTGTAGTTTGCGCTCGCGGGAGCCGCCGTTGGTCACGTGGTAGGCCCGCGCGCCGCCGTGCTGCGTCGCCGCTGCACGCTGAGCGTTGTGCGAACGCCGCTTCAACGCGTTTCTCCACACCGCCGTCACCACCGCCGCACAAGTTCGTCTGCCATGGGGCGCCGCCGCCATCGTCTGACCGGCGCACAGGTCTATCACGTCTGCTTGCGCTTTTTCAGGAGTTTCCTTTGGGCTCTAAAAGTTACTTATTCATCTTAGTTTTTTCTTATACTTCAAACAAAGATGAATAAGTTACTTTTAGAGGCCATAGGAAGCTTCCGAAAGAGTGCAAGCACCAGATGACAAATATGGGCCCGTCAAGGGCCACTTTTCCGCGGCGCCCGCCAGTGCCAACTACAAATTCGTATAGCACCGTAAATATAGTTCTAAAAATTTTTTTTCTTGGTTGTAAAGTTGTTTTATGATATCCTTTTTCCATCTAAGCTGTTTAAAAAAAATGTTTTTTTTCCTTTGCATGTGTCCTTTAAGGGTCTGTTATACTCCGATGATGAGCACAGTGAACGTAGCGTCGCACAGAACGTGCACCTTTCATTGGGCGGCGAGCAGGAATTCGATATCTGCGACCAATCAGTATCCATGTGCGCTGCGCTACGCCGCGTTTGCTATGATTGACGGCAGAGTATAACAGAGCCTTTAATGAGGCACGTCCCGCTTTCCATTTCTGCATTCGGCAGGCTTTCGACCAGCTGTAGTCACGGCCTCATAAACACGGACCACGGTCTCACTTAATAGTGAAATGGGACACATCAAGTTACGTGAACTTTTCTCTGCTGTGTCTTCCCTTTATAGCTAGGAGCTGAGAGTGGGGTGAGGGCAGACAACCTTCAGTGGACACGTTACGTCTTCCGAGCAATGCCTATCGTCATCTTTCCCTTCACAATGAACTTTCCTGCGGTGAGTGTGGTTTTGACCCAATTTGTTGTTGCCTCAAGTATAAAATGGAAAAGGTTGCTCGGATTTGCTCTGTAGTTTTGATATAACTTCGCTATTTGCTATATAACTGAAAATGCCATGGGATTATATCCACTTAAGTGGATCAAATCCCATAACTCTTTCAACATACTTTCAGTGTTTTTTTTTTGTTTTTTTTTAGCAAATATTTCTTTGAGTAGACCAGCATGTATTAGAGGTTTGCATTGTTTTTTATGCTAGAAACTGTCAGGTGGTTGAATTTGTTTTTGCTCTGTCATATTTATGTGTAGCATGTTTTGCAGGCCCTCTTATGCTACTGGGCTACGAGCAACATGTTTACATTAGCCCAAGTGGGCCTGCTGCGTGTGGGTGCTGTTCGTGAGGCACTGAATATGCCAACCTTGGTCAAGCACAAGAAAAGTGACTTGGTCTTGTCCAAAAAGAGCTTCATGGAAGGAGTGAAAGATTGTGAGTTTTCTGGCATATCTATCTCTAATCATCTGGACACTGGGACTGCATGCTTGAAACCTGTCCAAAGAGTCTCGGAATGATGGAGAGTGTTTTACCGAGGAATTTAGCTTGTTTATATTGCTAAACAGTGCATTTCGTTTGACCATAGCTTTGCAAAGAGTCAACGTTCGGCCCCTTGGAGCCAATCAGAGCGACAAAGGCAAAGCACGTCACAGCCCTTACCGAAGGTGTGGTGCGCCCCACAATTAACACCGCCACGAGATGGTCTGGTTTTTTTTTCATTTTTTGAGCTATTCCTGAACCTAGCGGTCGAACTATTTGGTGAAGATTTGCGTCCCCTATGAAAACCCAACCAGTGGGAGGTATTCCAGCAGCTGCAGCAACCAATTTATTTTTGGCTAGCATGCAATAGATCAATATTTCCGCAACCGAGTGGCGGCGTTAAGTTTGAGGGGCACTGTACACAACAAATATAGAACCTTACTTTGTGCCTTTCTAGAGTCATTGGGGTAGGCCATAGCGAATTCCCCCCCCCCCCCCCCCCCTCTCTGCGCACGCCTATGGGTGAGACAGAGTAATGTGAAGCATTCACCATTGTTTTTCCTAGGGTGTAGTGCAATTTAGTTAATCTGAATGCATAGAATTGTAAGTTTTCAGGGAAGTCTCAAACATCTCTAACATAATGGGTGTTGTTGTTTCTTAGGAGTTGTTCTTGCTTGCCTGGCACTGAGCCCTGGCACTTTCTACGATTTATGCAGCATTCACAAATGCTCGGATAACTCGTGAGCTGGAGGACCGGGTGCGAGCTGACGAGATGCAATTCAAAAGGGCTGGGATGGGACCAGTGGTGAAAACGTACCCTTACAACCCCACCAAGCAGGCCTTTGCCAAAGGGGCTCAGGACGGCCGCAAGATAAACGATTAACGCAGTGCGGCAGTAGCTGCTAGCGCTGCTATAGTTTTATTGAGTCCTCCTCTGGTACCTCGCTGTAGCTGTTTGTAAATAAATCATTGATGACTCTCAGTTTTTTGCCAGTGCAGTTTGTTGCTCCCGGGGTCTTGGCATGCAGGACCTATCAAGTGGCAGCTGCTGAGATTCTCCTGCAGTTTTGTTCCCATTGCCATGGCTATTGTGACATCGGCAACAAAAAGTGGCATAGCCGGTAATCTTACTTTTGATGCCGGGGAATGAGTCTGGCAAAGAATAGGGCCATACAGGGTCCACTACATTTCAGGGATGCTAAAGCTCCGTTAGCCTCCCTGCCTTGCTTTGCACCTGGCCACAACACTCGGAGTTTGAGGATGTATGCTGGGACACGGCGCACTGCAGCCACCTCGAAGTTACGTTATAAACTTTCCAGGTCGGGTGTCACTGCCAATCTGGACAGGAGTGTTTCACACTGGAAGCAGCACAAACTCCATTTTTGCCAGAGTGAAAGCAGTATGTAGGGTTTGTTGGTGTAAGACTATGTGAACATTTTGCTCTCTGCGAATATTTGTAAATGTGTTAATATTTATTGCCCTGGTGCTTGCAGCCGTCTTTTGTTTGGACAGTCGTAGTTTTGGAAATGGACTGGACTGGACTGGTTTCTTTTGCTTCGTTCCTTCGCTTGTTGCATCCACCTTTCCTCCTACAGCAGGGAAAGAGTCTTCTAGCACGCTTCTAATGACGTGCCACGGGAGTGGGAGAGGAGGGGATAGAGCGGCTGTGACGGTGGGACAACGTATGCAACAACGTAAAACTGAGGCCCACCGACTTCGCCGTTTGCGCGAAACTGCCAGACACCGGGAAGTAAAGATTGCTCTTCAAGGACAACAGAATACTAACTGTTGCGAGGTTGGAATTCCCATCCTTCACCGATTCGGAACACCTGCTCTAAATGCTAATGCATTTAGTTGAGAAGCGACGTAGCGACAGCAGCGATTTCGGCATCGTTTCTTTGTTACTTCCCAATATCTAAAGAAAAGTTTTTGTGAGAAAATATTTTGGAGAGGAAAAGGTCACGGCTGCGTCAAGACGGCAACCCCGTTTTTGCGTGCTGTCATTCTTGTCAAGTTGAACGGCTTATAAGACAAAAACGAAAATCACAGAGCTGAAATATGTTTGTGTTGAAACTTAATGTAAATATAAACTTGTGTAAATATACATTACGTAGCACAGTCAGATGTTCACAAACTTGGCTACTTTGACATTTTGGCCCTATATTTGTGAGTCATCTCGCAACGCTTTTAAGTTGCAACATTTAGGCATCTCGCATTTTTCTTAGAAGTTCTATCAAATGAAATGTAGTTTATTCCTCTGGTACTGTAATATCCTGAGATACCCCACTCCTATTTTTTGCTTGATGTGCTATTTTCTTTTAAACAAGTTTGGCAGGAAAAAAAAAAAAACTTTCAGCCTTTCCGCTCTGGTGAAGAAGGAAGACCAGCGAAGCTGCATGCTCGTCCCCTGCGTTTCTTCTTCGTCCTCGTCTGTTTTGCGCACTGATTCCTAGGATGAATTCCCACCAACTCGCCCAACTATCCATTCTTCTATGATAGCTTGAAAGGTTGCCGCCATCTATGAGCGACAGCGGCAACCAGACTGGTTGTCTGGTTGCCGCTGTCGCTCATAGATGGCGGTAGCTATCCAGAGTTTTGTGTCGACATTTGTTTGGTACCGGACACGAAACTGGGGAAACCAGCTCTTAACAACTCCGCTGTACTATAATCTAAAAATAGTATTTTTGTTTTTCTTTTTTACTTTTTTTTTATTATTGTACATTGAAAGTTAGCCCACTCCTTTTTTTTTTCTTTTTCACCCTATTTGCTCTCGATTTTAGTTGCGCTATCGCGATATTACGGTATGTAAATCATCTGTGTTCCGAACATATGTCAAAAGTAAGTCTATCAACTTCAGGTGCAATTAAAAAGAAGAAAACAAACCATCTGATTTTCTTCAAATACAACAAAAAATTACTCCGCCATGCGCCTGTGTTTAGCCATCGAAAACATGTTATCATTTTGTCTCCGTCAAAGGTTCAGTCGCAGTCCACTCCATATGAAGGTCTGCTCCGTTCTGACGGTGTCACAGCAGCAGCCGTGGCGGTGTGCGTGCCTCATGTCGCGCCTGCCATGCTACGCTCTGCGGTCACGCGTTCATCTTCATGTGGATCGCGAGAGTGCAGCGCTTCAAGACGTACCTTAGCAAGACTTGTTGGGCTAGTTGGTTCGTGGTACTGAATAAACTTGTATGCGCGAACACTGAAGGCGAACAGTAAGGAGTGGACAGGGACGTGTGCTTGTCATTGTCCGCTCCTTTGTGTTCGTCCTCTGTGTTTGCACGTACAAGCCTATTTTGTCTTTAAAAAGCAAAGCTTTAAAATATTTTCTTTTGTACTAGCAGGAGTGAAACTTGGTATCGCAGTCGCAACAGTTTTATTAAAAAGAAAAAAAAAAAAAAGTGGAACAAAGATTTTTAGTCACCGAGTCGCAACTAACATCCAGAACAACGACGTTGCAAAAAAAGAAATAATATTGATATTCACGCTGCCCAGCTAATGACATTGTCATTCGTGACGGTTCTGCGTTGTGGATGACGGGCACTTGCTGCAAAGGTGGCATGTTTGTAGCTAACATTATGAATTCAGCTAATGCAAATGACACCAGTTGTTATACATGGTGTTTGTGAAACAATTTACCAAGTTTTTTTTTTCTTCTTTCTTTTCACCGCAAACATAAACTATGCTTCACCGAACGCTCAGTCTCCCAGGCATAGCGCTAATGGTTGGCACCACACGCCAAAGTCTTAAAACTTATTATTCGTATCCTAGTTAGGTCCTAACTTATTATAAGCCATTTTCGGAAAGTGTCAATGAGAAAATGGAGTCCGTTCCCAATAGCAGACGCCATTTGTCTCCGTGTATTACGTTGGCATGCCGTTTCCTCGTGGAAAATTTCCAAATGTCGCTTATAACTTTTGAATCGGATGACTAAGTTCTGAAACTTTGGCACCTGCTGCCAACTGCTAGCGCTGCATTTGGACAAGGACTGAGCGTTTTGCGACGCGTGGCTTGTTTTTGTAATGAGATAAGACCCATCTTTTCTCCCGAACACCCGTTACTTTCACCGGTTTCTTTAGTGCGATCACTTACCCTGCTACATCCCGGTGCATTTCACCGAGACGCGAGTCTTAATACTAAAAAGAATAATTCCGACCCAACTAAACTGTCAGATCGTTATGGAAGGCTTTGGCGAATTTCGAAAACTTTAGGTTATCATTTGGAAGTTGGAATATCGTACTATTCGATACGATTTAATCCGTGTGTCGCACACTGAAAGCATGCGGAAGTTCCGCAATATTTCTCTCGTTCGTTGCTTGGGGTTAGTTAACTCTGTTGACTGCGCTTCTTACCGCGCACCTATTCACTGCAGAGAAGCCACACTTGCGGAGTAGACACTGCAATTTTGCGTAGTTCGCTTTGCCGCAGTGCAACCGTGTGCTAAGGGAAAAGGCACTACTCCGATGCGGTATTCGTGCAGGCGCACGCGTCGGTCATTCGAAAACAAAAACGAAGGAACTTTGTGAATGCCCACATGAAGCTCTTCCTGTAGACCACTCCGAAAAGGGGCTTCTGGCCGGCTGCCTTTGCAGTGTGCGTTGCGCGCTTTGCTCGCCTTCCGAAGCGACAAACTTGCGCGTGCTGGGCTGTGCGAGATCGCACGCCGGGCTGTACATTTGTAGACATTGGAATGGTGTATATAGTCGCTGACAAGGTGACAAAAGGTGATTTTTTTTTTCTTTTTAACGCCCGGCTTTTAGCACGACCACCAGATGGCAAAGCGTTATCGAAAGCAGGGGGCGCTCGCTGAAAGTCAGACAAGTGATACTCCTCCCTGACATTCTCGCACAGTCGGTCGATTCTTCCATCGAAGTACGACGGAAGGCACCTAGCGCGTGCTAAAATCCGGGCATCGAAGAAAAAAAGCTCCCTGCCCTTATTCTGTCGGTGACTTCACCCGCGGGGACAACCTCCTGCGGCTGCAGTCAAAGGTACGCGAGCAGGCGTGCTTGGGCGCCGATTAACAGCTGGGCGCGCGCACGTCTCTCTTCGAAAATGCCGCAGAAAGTTGAGATTTCTAAATGACCTCGAAGAGATACTTTCCATGGCTGTGCCAAAGTCCTCGTACAGTTGCCTCTTTCGAGCCTGCAACTGTAACAAGGCGCAGTCGGTTAAGTGCAAAGCTAAAGGAACTTTAGCATTGGACAAATGGAAGCGTTTGAATAATAAACGGGTTCTACGTGTGACAAAAGCTTTGTTCTTGATTAAGAATTGCCATTTTTTTTTTCAGATAGAAAATTGTTCCATTGGGTTCTCAAAGTTATTGGATGTTATTACTAACATTTTAGTGGAATTGCTTTCGATACAGCCAAAATAAGCATTGACATGTGTCCATGCTGTGCCCTTTAACAACGGCGTAGACCATTTTTCCGGGGGAGGAGGAGGAGGAGTTTTGTTGCCCCTTTGTTCAACATTTAACATGAGTTTCAAAAGTGGCTGTTGCATTGGCATTGTTTCAACCAAACAATAAGGCTTTGTTACAACGTTATTGGTTGGCTGGTGCTTTTCAGTAGAACTAAATAGCTAGTTGAGTGTTTGAGCGTAACAAACTTGCTATCCCAAACCTCTCTCCACCTTACCATATACGGGTACACAGAAGTGAAAAAGCAAAGAAGGCTTTTTTTTTAAGTTTAGCACAAATTTTCCTTGCCAAAAGTATGCATCGTACAGAAAAAGAAAAAAAAATGTTTTTGCTGTTCTATGGGTCTTTACCAAAAGGCTTATTTAGAACAATTATGAACGTTCGATATAATTGGGTTATCGATTGTGAATAGTCTTAACTGGTACATTTGAAGGCACGGTTTCAGTTGGAAACTTTCTTGGCGTCATCGAAAACCACTAAATCGGTGTACCTTACAGAAATAGAAGGCGCGCGCAGGAATTTGCGACGTTTCCGGAAAAACGCACAATTCCAGGTTTCGGT